AAACAATAGTTCGGACTCTTAATATTGAATTCGCAATCGCGTCTCCGAGGAAAGCAAGAAGTTGACACGCGTGTAATCTAAATAACATATGAAAATCTTTCGAGTAGCAAACCACAAGGTTTTCTAACTCGATGAATTGTCTCGAAATGCAATTGAGAGTGGTCGCATCTATCGGGGAGAGGCCCGACAGCGCCGCAATCACTACTCAACTTAGTTTCACAACAGCAAATATATTTTGGGTAGGAAGATGTCTAAGGCTGCTTTTTTCTCATGAGAGAGATAGTCTCATGAGTTGAGCGCTTAGATATCTGTAGGATGGGAGCTTAGCAGGCTAACCACTGAAAAGAAAATCGTCTCAGGAAATAGCTGAGGCTTTATTTCTACACAGTGCTCGCGCTGCTAAGCAAGGTAGGAAAGTGAGTCCTTTTGCCGCAGCGACGAGCGAATTTATACATGCGAAATGGGCTCCTTTCTACGCTTGGTAGCCCCTACAACGCTATTTTTGTCTTTGACGCAAATTTTGTACACGTTTTATCGCAAAATGGCTCGATCGAAATTACAATTATGCGATTTAAAAAATTAAACTGGAAAAGATGAATTTTTTAACATAAATTGCATCTCTAGGAAAAATCGCCTCTTAAAGTTATAAGCTATACAATTTAATAATCAAATTACGCCATTTTTACAATAAAATTATGGAAAATTTTTACATGGAAAAATCGCTTGTGGTTAGAAGATTGTTATCCATATAAAAGATGATTAATGTTGCTCTCTAATTTTGAATAATAATTAAAAAACAGATTTGCAAATTTCTTTTTTAGCGGTTTAAAAATCAGCAAATTAGTAACAATCATAATCATCAACTTTACAGATACGTATGATCGATTTGCTATCTAACCGTGTTATTTTAATTGTTAAAAAAAATTATAAATTGTTTATTTATTGATAACTTAATGAGTAATTAGTTATCAAAGTGTCAAATTCTTGATTTTCTGTTTCAATACGTCGAGATTGTAATCGTATGCTCGAAATAACAATATCATTGTTTATTGCTAAATAACTAACAATGTTAACTTGTAGATTAGATTTGACTAACAAATATCGATTTGAGAGTTACGAGTATATCAACATGAAATTCAGAATCAGCGCATCAAATTTAACTAAGAAATACTTTTGTTCTTTTAAAAAACTTTATAATTGACGTTTTTCTGTTGTAAACAATAAATTTTCCCACGGTCGTGACGTCACGCTCCTTATATGGTAATGTTTTCGCAGAGTTGCCCTAACACATTTGCATATACGTGTGAAAAGCGCCTACGCTCAATTACCGCTTTTCTCTAATTGTCTCGTGTGTGACGGGTTGCCGTTTTGCAGAGGAAAATAGGAGACAAATCAGACAGGACCATTACATAACAATGCAATTTTTATTGTTTAAAAAAATTATAAATTTGTTATTTATTGATAACTTAGTGAATAATTAGTTATCAAAGTGTCAAATTCTTGCTTTTCTGTTTCAATACGTCGAGGTTGTAAACGCATACTCTAAATAACAATATAATTGTTTATTGCAAAATAACTAAGAATATTAACTTGTAGATTAAATTTGACTAACAAATATTGACTTGAGAGTTATAGCAACATGAAATTCAGAATCAGCGCATCAAATTTAACTAAGAAATACTTTTGTTCTTTTAAAAAACTTTATAATTGACGTTTTTCTGTTGTAAACAATAAATTTTCCCACGGTCGTGACGTCACGCTCCTTATATGGTAATGTTTTCGCAGAGTTGCCCTAACACATTTGCATATACGTGTGAAAAGCGCCTACGCTCAATTACCGCTTTTCTCTAATTGTCTCGTGTGTGACGGGTTGCCGTTTTGCAGAGGAAAATAGGAGACAAATCAGACAGGACCATTACATAACAATGCAATTTTTATTGTTTAAAAAAATTATAAATTTGTTATTTATTGATAACTTAGTGAATAATTAGTTATCAAAGTGTCAAATTCTTGCTTTTCTGTTTCAATACGTCGAGGTTGTAAACGCATACTCTAAATAACAATATAATTGTTTATTGCAAAATAACTAAGAATATTAACTTGTAGATTAAATTTGACTAACAAATATTGACTTGAGAGTTATAGCAACATGAAATTCAGGATCAGCGCATCAAAATTGACTAAAAAATACTTTTGTTCATTTGAAAAACTTTATAATTGTCGATTTTCTATCGTAAACAATAAATTTTCCCACGGTCGTGACGTCACGCTCCTTATATGGTAATGTTTTCGCAGAATTGCCCTAACACATTTTCATATACGTGAGAAAAGCGCCTTTGCTCCATTACCGCTTTTCTTTGATTATCTTGTGTATGACGGGTTGCTAATTTGCAGAAGAAAATAGGAGACAAATTAGACTGGACCGTTACAATACATTAATTATATCAAAAGTTATTAACAATTAAACAAAAATGATAAAAAATTTTCGAACGGCTATATTTTAAAAACTAATAAAGATATCAAAGTTGGATTTTTTCATAATACTTAGAATGCCTTAAAATTTCTAAATAATTACAACAATAAACAATAAAAAATTGTTTTCGAAAGTTATTACCTTTTTGTTTAAATAATTGCTAATATCTCAAAAAGTATATATATTTTTTTTAATTCTTGCTCTTGCGTGTTCCTGAGGATTTTTGCTATCGAAATCAATCATAAAATTCAAGAGCCCGATATATCGGAAGGTATAGCCCTAATAAGAAGAAAACGCCTCAGCGTAAGACCACGAAGACGTCCCACTGCTGTTGCGACGTACATCGAGGCATCTTCTTTTGATTAGGGCTACTCCTTCCGATATGTTGGGCCCTTGAATTTTATGATCGATTTCGATAGCAAAAATCCTCAGGAACACGCAGGAGCAAGAATTTGTCAAAAAAAAAAAAAAAAACTTTTTGAGATATTAGCAATTGTTTAATCAAAAAGTTAATAACTTTCGAAAAAATTTTTTATTATTTATTGTTGTAATTGTTTCGAAATTTTAAGACATTATAAGTATTTTGAAAAAAAACCGACTTCGATATCTTTATTAGTTTTTAAAATATAGCCCTTTGAAAATTTTTTATCATTTTTGTTTAATTGTTAATAACTTTTGATATAATTAATGTATCCATATCAAAATTTGGGAAAAATCTCACTTTCATGTGTTGTGACGGTAAACGTCTTATTAGCGCTAACGGCCCAACCGTGCGGCTGCCCGCGAGGGCAGCACCTACTGGTTGGGGAAGATGTGACGAGGGAATTCGGCACGCAACGGGACGGAACGCGCGCGTATGAAAATGAAGTAGTGCAGGATTAACTACCGATGCGGAGAGCCGCAAATCGAGGATTAGAACCCGATCGCAGAGCCGTGCCACCTAGTATTTCGACGTTTTCCCGAGTTTTTCTTGGAGTGCGAAGGTGGATCGACAGGAGATAGCCTGACGGAGCTGAGTGCATGCGAGAGTGTGCGAGTGAGGAGTTTCGCCATCGAGGGCGAAACCGAGAAGCGCGAACTACCTCGACGCGATAAAGACAGACTTTACCGCGACCAGTGTGCGAAATTGTTCTTCCGTTCTTCGTACGACTGCTTAAAAGGTAAGCTGGCCAGCTTAATTTCGCGATCGTGGTAGAATTACTAAATAACTAATCTCTCGACTCGACAAAAAGTGTGCATGTAATAACTCTGTGAACTGCGAGCGGCGAGCGATCCGACACTGCATGTTGTCGTGCGCGCGACATGTAAACATAAACACGCGGGCCGAATGTAGTGTAACATTCAGAAGTAATAAAGAGTTCTCGCTTGTGATACTAACAAGATCGCCGATGTATTTATTTCACGGTAGCAAATAATTGGTTGATTGACATCCGTTCCCTCCTGCTCTCCGATTCTCGTGTTTGACGTAGGTACTTACGCGCGCCCTTCAGTCCGATCGCGCGAATAAATTAATTAAACGGTATTCACCCCGTTACAGTGTACAACAATTGTGCCAAATTAAAAAAAAATCAGTAACCTAAGGGTTATAAGTCAATCAAAATAGCCAAGAATAACCCATATATAAGATCATTAAACTGAATTGACATATAAGCAACGATATCCATCCTTGTCTCTATCCCTTGTCAAAAAAATAGGCTTATTCAGAACGTGGCCTTAGTAAAACACTTATAAGATCATACATGACTTAAGAAGGGTCTTAGAAACGTCCAGAAATAAGAGGACTCAATACCGTGCGACGGTGGCGTCGTAGAAATTATTTTATAGTAGGGCTAGATATACATATATAGGATCAAATACTATGCGTTCGTATGCACTTAATATTAGCACGTAAGTGCCGAATGCAGATAAGTAGAAGAGAGAGTAATTAGAATAACGTTAATCACCAAATTTTCGCATTCCAAAAAATAATGACATCTTATAACTTTCAAGCATTCAAATTGACGTCTCCATTTTTTGTGGGAACGCTAATGACATTTGAGTCATATAGCAACAGCTGAAACGTTTTGCTTACTGTTAGATGACTGAAAGTGACCATATACATTAGATCATCAAGATTTCATGAACAATATTCAGGCGCAAATTCCAAGCAAATAGTTGTCATTTAACAAAAAGATATGTTAGCATCATCTCTTTGCCTGTTATTGCTAATCTTGTTTTTTTCTACGTGGATGTAGTATGCACGAAAGAATAATATTTAAATATTAATCTGTATTGTTAGTGTACTGGTTTGGTTTTAATGTAGATATAAAAATGTAAGGGATGAATAATGTTTTTACGAAGACTCTTTACAGAATGTTAAACTTTTACGATTACTTTTTAAGTACGTTTAATTTTTTTAGATTTTTCCATACAACCATTGTACATTTTATAATTATATCAACTTTATGATTAAATCAGTCTTCTCTAATATTTAATCTAGAAATTCGTTGATAAATATTTTTATTAATAATTTATTTTATCAATTTAGGGGATGCCTGAAGCTTGGGCTAGATTATTAATGTCTAGCAATATTAGTAAACAAGAACAAAAGAGAAATCCGCAAGCAGTATTAGATGTTCTGAACTGGTATGACAATAGTAGTAAAGAAACAAAAGGTTCTAAGTATATGACAACCATAAGACAATTCGGTGGTTCAGGTGAGTATTATTCAGTTAATTCATTCTTTATAAGTATTATGAAGTAATATCATATGGCGTTTGTGTCAATGGTTGAAGCGATTCTTTGAAAATGTTTATTCTTATTCCCGATTATTTTTGAATTTTAGAATACAAATATTAGAATTGTGGAAATATATTCACTTTATTATGCGATGGTGAAAATATGATCTAATCTAAGCAGTTGGAGATCGAGAAATAGAGGATGCCGTCTATCTGTAAACGAAATAAGTTTCTGTATTTTTATTATTATTATAAGTCATCATTCCAATGAAACAATGTCGACACTGTTCATAATCAGTATAGGCAAAAAAAGACAGAAAAACCTTAATTTACATTTTGTTAATAGATTTTTCAAGTTCTTCGGAACATATATAACGGAATGAACACAAATAAGAACACATGAATATATGTAAAGTAACAGTAATTTACACAACAAACATCTAACAATACTGTGATTTGGCGAATGCAATACTGTTTAATATATTATGCGTCTGATGTTAACTCCTGTACCGGGGGTTCTGACTTCCCCGTCATGGGTGAAGCTAAATATCTACTCGGCTCGTTGCAGGCTTGGTATGGGGTTACGCGGAACCCAGTTCAGTGGCTCAGCTATGCCACTTGAAGGCTTCCTTGCCTTCGGCCCGCTGAGAGCGTCGCAGGTCAGGTAGTTGCTGGCGGTGCGAGTCAACACGTGTATAGCGCGGGATGGGAGGGCGCCGAAAGGAAAGACACAGTGGTTAAGAGAAATAGCATTTACTAAAATGAAGGAAATAAGGAGGCGTACAAATGATATGCGCCGTGAGAGAGACAAGCAGGAAGCGAGCGAGAGAGAGATAGATAATCGAGCAAGTACTTACACGTCGGCTTTGCAGTAGCCTAGAGCTCGCTTCCGAAACGCACGAATATTCGGCCTCGGGGCAGTCTTCTTGACACGATTGACACGATCAACAGCTTGTCAGCACGCACGCACACAGCACACAGTCCGCAGGATGCACTTTGGTGCCACGGTCTTTCACGCGGTCACGCACACTCTGCACTCTCGGTACCTAACGACAAAAACGCAGGCTACGTAGCACAAAGGCATCTACCGATCGCGCGTTGACGGCTAGGTTTGCGTTCGTCGTGGAAGCGGGCAGCTAATTGTTCTTCGCACGCGGAAGAGGTCCCCCCTCTCTCTCCTTGGCTATTCGGCAGCGGCGCGCCTCAGCCAATTAGGCAACGCGCGGGACACTCATGCGTCCACGCACTCTCGCATACACGCGGTTCTCTCTCCCTCTGCTCGGCGCTCTCTCACCTCGTGCAGCGTCAGCAGCTGCGGCTAGGTAGGGAAGGATACATAAGAGAGTTATTAATAAATTACAATTGACTTAAGGGAAGAGAGAGACATAACGAGACTCAACTCGTTATACTCCTTAGCAAGCTTCTAATAGTATTATATATATTACTCAATAAGTTATTATTTAAATTATTCAAAAGAAAGTTTTTTGAGTTCTCGTGATTTTGATTCTCATTTAAAAGTGGCATTCATGCGATATTCACTAACTGCTTAAGATTGATGATCAATAAAACGACATATTAATACGTAAATATATAATTATGTCGTTTTATTGATCATCAATCATTGAAAAAACTCCATAAAGAAAAATATTAACTTATTTATCCAAGCAAATTCCAGGCTAGATAATATCAAAATAACTATGGTCATGTCACAATGAAATTATTTTCATAATTGTAATTCAACACAAATTTCAGATAGATACATATACATCTAAGTTTATACATATACATATATATACACATCATTGCGCTATGTCAGTGCCAATCCTGGGTTCCCAAGAAGTAAAGCTAGGAAAAACATCTTAATGTCTAATGAATAAGAGGTACTGATAAAATTAGCGAGGGCAGCAACATGTTCTGTTCTGGAATGTTGAAGGAAGTGAAGTAAAGATAAATATTAACTAGGTAGGTTTCAATGTCGAAAAGATGTGCAAGTCAAATGACGGTAACTTAACCCTTAACTTGCACACCTAATTTTGGCCACGAACTGCTCGATGGGGTAAATCTACCCCAGCCCGAAAAACATCGAATACGAGTAAATCAGAGAATCTTAGATATTTTGCTATGAAAATATTTTCTAGTATATTTCAAACCTTTTACTACAAAAAAAATATCCAGCTTAACAATTTTTAAGGTTACACACATTGAAAAAAATTGTTGAAAAAAAAAATTTTATTTATTGTTAAAAATTGTCTGTGGTAAATCTACCCCACATAGCAGTTAGAGGTTAATTGCTAAAATTAATTAAAGGCTTCAAACTAGAGAAACTGGCATCACTGATCTCGGTAGTGATGACAGAGCTTTAAGATTTTGAAGATCTGATAATAAAGGATGTGGTCAATAAAGCACTACAGACAGCACTTGATAAACCCATCTCAGTGCAGGTCGAGATGAAGACACTCCGAGGACAGCTAAGAGGAACTCATGTGACATTTATGACAGCACTATGTATCTTGGCAACTAAAAAAAATAGTAAAAGAGGTTAAAGTCATAAATGGATGTATCAATGCACTTAAGAAAAAGATGGTAATCCAAGTCTTTAGAAAAGGACATCCGAAAAAAGCTATTATTGATATGAAAATCTAAGACACTAAGTGATGCTGGATACAAAAAACCTTATAAGTACTAATCTTGTAAAGTGACATAGCGGGCGAATAGAAAACGTAGCATACTATGCTCTCCGAATGGCTAAGAGAAAGCTTAACTATCAAAATGAAAATAGTTAACCTTTCAGCACTGACGTACTGTAAATCAAACTCAACCGATCCACGGAAGTACAAGATCTTGCTGTTATGACCATGAAGGATAGAGAAGCAGGCATAGTTCTGAACTCGAAGTAAATTTGATACCTCCATGAGATGATAATGCAGGCAATCTCTGCCTAGTGGAAAAAGTGAATTAAACCGAAGCCGATGAAAGGTCCTGGATATTTGTTCAGGTATGTTAGTGGCCATAGCCTTTAACATTCCTGGCATAGTAAGGTAATGTTATGGCTAAAGCCATATGTATGTTAATGGCCACCCAATGTTAGTACTTGTTTAAATAGATGATCAACATAAGATTTTCGACTTTATTTCGAACGGACGACATTATCATAACAAAAAATATTAGTCTTTTTTAACTAATGAAAATTCATATTGAATAAATTGTCATGCATTAAAATTGATTAATGAAAATCTAGTTATTAACAAAAACCGTTAAAAAATCTATAATTTTTTTATTTCTTTTTCTCTTATAATAATCAATAAAATACATTGAAATATAATGTAAATGGTGTATTTTAATAATATAAATAGGCCAATGATATGAATACAACATTAGGAGCCGAGATAACCTTTTTTTTCAAAATATTCTAGAGTTCTTAATTATTATTAACATTAAGAAATCGGACTTATTTTGAATGTTGACGAAATGATGGAAATTTATGACACACTTATAATAGTTTCAAGTAGCTGAATCTAATAGTAACTTATTAATAAAAATAAATCACGAATGAGCGCGGGAACCAGTAGTTCGAAGACAGTACCAACGCACACTCAAAACTTCAAAACTTGATTGCACGACTCTAAATTGACCGCGCTAGACAATGTTGCGTTAATTCCAAAACTTTTAATTAGGATTTAATAATTTTTTTTTATATTTAAGATTATGAAAAAGTATAAATAATTCATGAACCCTAACATCTTAAATGTTCATGCTTAATTTTGGACGTGGACCTAATAGGACTGTGTTCCTTTTGGGGTGCTTGATTAGAGTGAGTCCCCTTGCCTCTCACTGTTAGCATTAAATTATTCAGTCTGAAAGGATTGTTCGTGAACGTTATAACGAGTCGCATTCTCGTTATGTCTCTCTCTCCCTGCAGCCAGTTTGTTTATTAATCATATTTATACTTTACCATGCATTATAATAATTTGTAATTTGTAGCGCAGTTGAAATGTCAGCGAAAAAGGTAAGAGTAGTGTCCTACGATCTATACTATCGATAGTCCCTAGCGCGGATGTCGCGGAGAGACCGCGATCGCGAAGGAAAAAGAGAAGGAGAGCGCGAAATGAGTCAGTTGGCATGCGAACAGGGACAAGTACGGACGCTAGCATAGTTTGACAGTAACACCCTTTTCTTTTGCGTTACGAGAGATCTCGAGGGAGTAAGCGAGTACGCAGTGGCGATTATACGAGTCCAAAGATCGCCAGCGATAAGCGAAGGCGCATAGCTGATGTTGACAGGAATTCCGTCAGCTATAAGGCTAGGAAGCGAGAATGCCCGCGCGAGTGTAGGACAGGAGTAAGCGTGGTCGCGATCTACTGTTAGTGCGTTGCGGCTGTTCTAATAACCGACGACTACTGTAAGTACCTACTCGACTCTCTCTCTCTCTTAGGCTCTCTCTCTCTCCTATTGCTTGCTAACTGCATTTGTCACTTTGGTTTTTCGCCCGACTTACGCTCTCTGTCATTTTGCTCGGCATTGCGTCTTGTCTCGAGCAGCTTTAAGCCTTCAAATAGCCGCGGCCCTTAACTGTCATATAGCTATGTACGACGACACGGGAGCTCGCGCTATAGATGGACATTACGTGCCCATCATTGGCAGCGTACAGCTACCATTCTCGGTCGGAGGGGTCTCCCATATGATAGACGCCCTAATTCTTAGTGAATCCGAAACAGAATGTACTCTAGGAGGAGACTTCATTCGAGCGTTTTCCGCTTGCCTTGACCCAGAGACTAATACCTTACGGGTAAAAGGATGTAACCGACGGGTACCACTCATTCTCTCGTCTCTGAGGGTAGATCAGTCGCTTGCCCTGTCCTCTTTAGGCATAGAGGAGATTAACCAGGAGCAACGCGCAGAAATCGACCGAATTGTAGAAGAAGTTTTACCCGAAACCCTTCATAGCCACATTGGATGTACGTCATGGATCAAACACGACA